GATAGACTAACATCGAAAGTCTGTAATAAATCAAGATTCATTTGCAGATACTGATTTCCTTTCCCTTTTGTGACTTTTTAAATCTTGTTTTTGGCTTTTGTTCATAATACATATTTTTTTTCTCTTTCTGCTTCCCATATTCCTTAAATCATTTCATCTAGATATACAGACCATCTGTCCTTCCAAAAGGCTATTCCTTCTCTCAACAAGGGGCAGGGGTGGGAGCAAGAGACATAATATGGAAAGGAAGCCAGGAAAAATCTCATGGACAGTCTTTTGGCTCCACTTCCCTGGCCCTTCTTTGCAACCCCCTGGGGAACAACAGGGAGCCAACAGCTTGTATCCATTTGAGAAAGTGGCAGTGGCTACAGAAGAGAAAATACTAGGCTGTTCAGCTCTCTTCCTAGACAAGAAAAGCAATGCAAATGGTCGATGGTGTCCTGGAATGCACACAATTCTGTGCCACAAGAGCAAATAGATTGGAATTTCTTGTCATTGAAGTGGAACATAAGAGGATTGAAGTGAAATGGAAGCTAGTCATTTGAATTGCTTCCAAATACACAATTGGAAGATCTCTACATTATAATTTTGTAATAACCTATGTCTTTCCCAAAAGACAGTCTCATGACCTGGGGGATTACGTGCACCCCCTGCTCCAGGACTTGCACCGACAGGATTTTATAGGCTTATGTTACACACTTCATCCCAAGAGCTGTGTGATGTCTAGCTGTAGCCCGTGAAAATGTAGCCCCAGTGAATATCCTTGAGAAATTGCCCTTGAAGCTCCCTAGCCTCAGCCTAGGAGGTCTTCAGCTAATAAAAGTTGTGAATAGCACGTTAGTTCAAGCCAGTTTCCATTTGCCGTTTTGTATGTAAAGAGAAGCCACTCTCTCCCACCTCCTCCAGTTGTGTTAAGATCCCAGATACAAGGCAGCCTTGACTCAGAGGAGCCTTAAAACCTAAAAGGAGAAGTGCTCTCTGAAATCAAATTACAGAGGAGGTAGTAGCTTTGAAGCTTCATGGAGCTTTCATATTTCATGGAGCTGAGTTTTCATACTTCATGGAGCTGAGTTTTAGAGTTTTTAGGCCCTTTGAGGTTCCAACCCCATAAAAATAATAACAATAATAGAACCCGTTGTCCAAAGTCATGTCTGAGTTCTCAAAAGAACATTAATAAAAATATTAATTTGAGCATTAGAATTGTCACTTGGAAATTTCTACTGGAAATTGTCTTTGAAAAAATCACAGAGGTGAGGCTTTCTGCTCCTGTGGAGAGCAGATTAAGACGGGCCTTTCCCAAGCCTGGAGCAAGCTGCTGCTGCCGCCAACACTATAAACAAGAAACATTTCACCCTTGAATCTCTCATGTAGGATAAAGCTTCAAATTCATCTAATTCAGATATATGAAATTTCTCCATGGTTGTGAAATCTCCCAGAGAAAGAGAAAATGAGCACCCAAAATTGTGAAGGCCTGCCTGAGGGAGCAGGGACCACCACTTTGTTTCCCTTGCCTCTTAAAGCCTCTAGGTGATCTGTGCATCTCCAGCTTCTGCCCAGGGACCACCTTTCCCTGAAGATCTGATGTAAACATTACAGAAAGTATTCCCATTTGCAAAAATGTTATCAGTCATCCGTTTCGTTTCAGGAAGGGACATTGAACTATAATTCAAACTTAATTAGAATCCTGAAAACTTTTGATATTGTCAAACATTAATCAAAAAAACTAATCAGCTCTTTAGAAGTGATAGGGTAGCAAAAATGAAATATTGAGTAGTTGAATTTAAAAAAAGAGGCCTTAATATTGACAATGTTGATTTCTTTGGAAATAGTTTTGAAGTTTTGCGTCAAGGGCGGTTTCCAATAGTTTTAAATATGATTAAGCCCGGGGCACGTGGGTGGCTCAGTTGGTTAAACAGCTGCCTTTGGCTCAGGTCATAATCCTGGGGTCCTAGGATGGAGCCCCACGTTGGACTCCCTGCTCAGCAGGGAACCTGCTTCTCTCTCTCCCTCTGCCTGCTGTTCCACCTGCTTGCGTTCTCTCTCTCTCTGTCAAATAAATAAAATCTTTTTAAAAATTTAAATATGACTAAGCCCAATAGTCCTGTTAGTTTGTCCAAAACAACGCAGTGCTGTCCCATAGGATGAATATGTACCATTGGTTAGAAGGATGAAATAGTCTGATATTGAGATACAGTCTGTGGATGCAGACAGAGCTGAGTTTGAATCCTAACTCTGCCACATGGTTACCTTGGTTTTCTCATTTGTAAAACGGAGCTGATAACATCTACTCCATAGTGTTGTTAAGTGATTAAATGAAGGGATATGGGATCCCTGGGTGGCGCAGCGGTTTGGCGCCTGCCTTTGGCCCAGGGCGCGATCCTGGAGACCCGGGATCGAATCCCACGTCGGGCTCCCAGTGCATGGAGCCTGCTTCTCCCTCTGCCTATGTCTCTGCCTCTCTCTCTCTCTCTCATTCTGTGTGACTATCATAAATAAATAAAAATTAAAAAAAAATAAATGAAGGGATATATGGGGGAAGTTCCTGGCCCATAGTACATACTCAGTAAATGGTTCCTGATGTTAAAATGTAGCTCTTGTGTCCTGTTCCCACTAGAGAAGGTGTATGTATAAGTCAAGTTAACCATACTAACTGAGGAGATAAGAATTGAAAGAGTATTTCACTCTTAGCTACATACTTCCTTATTTTGTCCTATATGTAAGTCTTATCTCCCTACTAGGAGGTAGTGAAGTTCTGGAGGACAATATCATCTCCTTCTTTACTCCACAATGACTAACAGTGCTAGAGAACTAGTAGACATTCAGGAAATGTTTGTCGACATGACCTTACTTAGCAATGTCTTATGTCTTTCTACACCCCTCATATGAGAACAGGATTATGCCCTACCATGTAAAAATCTTAAAATTTCCTGGTAATTGTTATTTTCCAATAAAACTATGGGGATATTTTACCATCTTCAAATTGTTTTGTTTTCTAATTGGTTTCTGGCCCCATCTTTAGCCATTTTGTTATTTATACATATGTAAGTATCATTAACACTGCAGCTGGCACTATAATAACTTTCCTGTCTCCAATTTTTTTAGGTGATAAGGAGGGGCAGAGGGAGAGGGAGAGAAAAAGAATTCCAGGCAGGCTCTATACCCACCATGGAGCCCACATGGGGCTCAGTCTCACAACTCTGAGATCATGACACGAGCTGAAACCAAGAGTCAGCTGACTGAGCCACCTGGGCGCTCCTTCCTGTCTCCATTTTTTTTTTTCTGTCTCCATTTTTAAATGAAAATCTTCATTTTCTAATATTATTGAAATTAGCTAGAGATCCTTTATACTTAACTTTTCCATCTGCATATTTAAGTATATTTAATGATTTTTCAGTAGTTTTGTGGTAAATAAACATATCTAATTAAGGCACTTTTCAAGCTCTATTGATGTCCTAGCATTTGATGACCATTTTGGGGAAAACCTAAAAATGTGTTACTTTTCTTTGAAATCCTTAAAAGTATGAGTATATAACAATATTAAGTACAGACTGAGGAACTGATAAGACTTTACAAATGTACAGTTGATCAAATTTATAATAATTAGCTTTTTTCAGAGTTGTTTTAATGGCAATTAGCCTACTCAGATTTTCTACTTTTTGACTCAATTGAGGAGGTAATTATTTTTCTTAAAAATCTTCCATTTCTTGGGGCACCTGGCTGTATCAGTTGGTTAAGTGTCTGACTCTTGATTTTGGCTCAGGTCATGATCTCAGGGTTGTGAGATCAAGTCCCGTTGGGCTCCACACTAGGCATAGAACCCGCTTAAGATTCTCTCCCTCTCTCTCTGACTCTTCCTCCCCCTACCCCTGCCAAATCTTACATTTCTTGAGATTTAGGGTCATAACATAAAATTCTAAACTGAATTCATCTTCAGTGTCTATATTTTTTGTTGTATATAACTTGTCTTTTTTTTTTTTTACAATTTTTCAGTTTTAATTGTGTGTTAGGATTTTCTTTTTTGAATAAATCAGGCAAACTGAGGTTTTATGGGGACGTTTTGGGCAGTTGGAAGACCACTTTTGGCCATTCCTTCTAAGTTTCGATTTATCATGTTCCCATTCCCATTCATTTCTACCAGCACATAATTGCAGGTTTTGTGAAAGTTGTTTAGGAGTTTTGTGTCTGTGACTTCCACAAACATCTGTCATTAACTTCTAGTTTTTGGCATATTCCCCACTGTCTGAGAGCACCTCCTTACCATAATGAGGAACTTCTGCATAGCCTTCCCTCACCTCTAGCATTCAGTGCTCGTCTTCCTGGTCTTCCTGTTCGAGAACTCAGTAAGCTTTTGGCAGTGTCCTCTACCATTTCCTGGGAGAGTGCACTTATTTCCCAGAGGGCAGGGGGATTTGAGTGTCAATGTTTGCTACATTCCTTCAATCTGGTCCCATCTGCTCTTAACTAGCTGCCAGTCCTCTAAGTCTGTGACAGGTAGATGGTTTTCCCTAGTTTGAGTCCTAGGGGAGAATCACCCTCCTTTGTCATTCCTTTGTTGATTATAATAAGTACTGGCAGAGTGTGATAATTAGCTTTTGAATTACCTCTGAGTAGCAGGTACATAGATGATTCAGAGAGCACTTATTACCAATAATATTACTCATGAATTGGAATGGAGTTTTAACATTGTTTTTATCCCCACAAGGATGCTCCTGCGCTGTAAGGTATGAAGTGTTACAGCAGCTCTGTTTTATGCAGGAGGATATTGAGGCCCAGAGTAGCCAGGTGACTTTCTTGAAGTCATAAATAGTGACAAAGCTGGGATGACACCCCAGATCTTCTGTTCCTGATTGATTTTTTCAAATCTTGGTGAGAATTATAGTTCAAAAATACAGCCTTGGTGGCCATCAGCTATTTTCTGTCATCCAACACAGTTGATCATTCCTCATTTCATGTCAAAATACTTTGCATTTGACCTCAAGAACACTCTGTTTCCCCCCCAGTTCGAACGCCATGACCCTGTGGATGGGAAAATTACTGAGCGGCAGTTCGGTGGCATGCTGCTGGCCTACAGTGGAGTGCAGTCTAAGAAGTTGACTGCCATGCAGAAGCAGCTCAAGAAACACTTCAAAGAGGGAAAGGTGGGTATCTTCATTTATAGGAAGAAAAGGAACCACGGGAAGATATGGCTGTATTGTAAAGGTACTAACATAATGAGAGTGTCATGAAGCAAAGATGATAGCTAATCATCCCTGATACCTGAAAAAAAAAAAAAAAAAAAGAGCAGTGGACGAGGAAGAAGGGAGAGTCCAGAAAAAGCCTTGAGTTTCTTTTTCAGACAAAAGGTGGCACCAGGAACTAAGATTGAGAAATTAAATGGGGTGTCTGTCTGGCTCTGTCAGTTGAGAATGCAACTCTTGGATTCAGGGTTGTGAGTTGAAGCCCCACATTGGGCCTAGAACTTATTTAAAAAAAAAAAAAAAAATTCCTGGGACGCCTGGGTGGCTCAGTGGTGTAGCACCTGCCTTCGGCCCAGGGCGTGATCCTGGAGTCCCGGGATCCAGTACCACATCGGGCTCCCTGCATGGAGTCTGCTTCTCCCTCTGCCTGTGTCTCTGCCTCTGTGTGTGTGTGTGTGTGTGTGTGTGTGTGTGTGTCTCATGAATAAATAAATAAAATCTTTAAAAATTAAAAAAAAATTCCAGAAAGTCTATCTGGAGAGAAATTAAAAGAGACTGATTTACTGAGGAAGATAAAGAGTTTAACTATAGATATCTCCATTTAAGATACCTGTGGAGTATCCAGTTAGAGACGATTAGCAAGTACTTGGATATTCAGATCTACTTCAGATGACTCAGATAGGTTTGGGAATCATCAACACACTATTCAAGTTAAAGCCATAGGAACCTATGAGATTGCCTAAGAAGAGAGTATTATACAGAAAAGAACTGTAACTTCTTTGACCAAAGACAAAATCAAGTGGAACATTAACATTTAAACAGCACAGGAAGGAAACGGTTATAAAAACTAGTACAATTGAAGCCAACGAAATAATGGTAACAGGGGACAGAGAGGGTCCAGTAAAGTAAGATGATAAACAGCTATTAGCTTTTTGGTAAAATGGTAATAATTGATGACCTTTGGGAGCTGTTTTATTAGAGTGGAGGACATATTAGAATGGGAAGTAAGGAAGTAGAGAAAGAGAAAAAAAGAAGGAAATGAGGAAGAGGGAAGAGGGGCTCCAGAAAGAAGGAAATAGAATACGTTCAAAACTCTGAGGCAGTATATTAGTCTGCTTGGGCTGCTACAACAAAACACCACAGACTGGGTGGCTTTAACAAAAGAAATTTATTTTCTCACAGTTCTGGATGTTAGACATCCACAACCAAGGCACAAGCAAATTAAATTTCCAAGAAGGGCTCTCTTTTTGGCCTTTGGACAGCTGTCTTCATACTATATCCTCATATGGCCTTTCCTTAGTTGTTTACAGGGTAGGAGACAGAGAGAAAGAGGGAGAGCAAGATCCCAAAAGCATACATGCACACTAGCTCTCTGATGTTTCTGTCTTCTTATAAGGACACTAATCCTGGGATCCCTGGGTGGCGCAGCGGTTTGGCGCCTGCCTTTGGCCCAGGGCGTGATCCTGGAGACCCGGGATCGAATCCCTCATCGGGCTCCTTGCATGGAGCCTGCTTCTCCCTCTGCCTGTGTCTCTGCCTCTCTCTCTCTCTTTCTAACTATCATAAATAAATAAATTTTTTAAAAAAAGGACACTAATCCTGTCAGTTCAGAGCCTCATCCCTATGACCTCATTTAACCTTGTTTATTTGCTTAGAGGTCCCCCTTCTAATATGGCCCCACTGGGGGTTAGGGCTTTAATGTATAAGTTTGGGGGTTGGGGTGATACATTGAGTCCATAACCAACAGAAAACACAAAGGTCTAGCATATGTGATGAACTGAAAGGGGGCTGTTGTGGTTGGAGCATACTAGCAAGAAGGAGAATGGCCTGAGAGGAGGTCTGAGGGTGAGATGGGGGCCAGCGCATGCATGAGATGAGTTTGGGTTATATTCACAGCACAATGGGAAGTTATTAAAGGGCTGTGAGCAATGAAATGACATGGTTATACGTATGTTTAAATAAATGGCTCTGCCTGCTTTATGAAAAATAGTTTGGAAAGGAGCAAGCATAGAAGCCAAAAGACTAAGATTATTAGAGAATTCAGGAGGAGATGACTGAGCATTTTGTGCACAGCATTGTGATTGGAGACCATGAGTTTGTAGCAGCACTAGTCAACACTGCTCTCCGATACCTTTGCACACCAGCTGTACCTGGTGCAGGAAGGGGCAGATGTTTTGAACTGAGTCAGCATCTGGGGTTTTGGCAGGGTGTGGGATGGACATACTGAAGCAGAAATCAGCGAAGAGGCATACCTCTTAATGATCACACACATACACACACATTCCACAGTGTCAGATCTTTTCATTCTCAGCCCCAATCCACTGGACTATTCCCACTGGGCCACTACCAAAGAAACTGACCTGGCTCTAAAAATATTTCTGTCCCCACAGCAGGCGTTCCCTCGGTGATGGGAGAAAACTCATCATTCACAGAAAGTGACAAGAGAGCAGTCTTCTCTCCCAGAGACAACTTTCACACTGCTTAGTACCCAGCTTATATCTGTTGGAAATTGTAATTTCAGAAAATTAATGGCAAATGTTTAGGTAGATTTTTAGCCCCTATGCTGGAAGCACAGTGTTGTTTGCATTAGGAAACACTTCTTTCTACCAGACTAATTTTTAGCTAAGTTTGGTCCAGACATTTATTTGACCTTAAAATAATTATCTATCGTAATAGGCTAATTCATGTTTTACTATGAATTTATATTTCAAAGCAATAAATTGGGTGTTGGCAACATCTCCCTTGAAGGATTAGAGTGGCTTTGGGAGGAGTTGATGTAGGACCTGGAGACCTCGCAGAAGGGCTCTGAAGTATAAAAAGATAGATTTTTGTCAAAGGTTAAAAATCTGGGGTGCTAAATTACTTCAGGCCCAGAATTTCCAGGCTGCTTTAGCAAGGAGATTGATATTGATTGTCCTCTCATGTTGATTAAGTTTGTGAACATAGCAATTAACTAAAATGAAAGTTAATAAAGGGCCTTTGCTCCTAAGGTTATCAGTCCATCTCTCTAGGACCATGGCTCATTAAAGAGGAATCACCATCTGCTCCCTAATTCTTTCTTTTATTCCCCTCTGCATTTGTGAACATGAAAATGTAACTTTTCATTTGGCTCATACTAATCATTTTCTGTGTGGGCTTCTGTACAGACTTAGAAGACTGGCAGTCCTAGTGGTAGTATTAAGTAAATATTTGCGTATTGCTTAATGACTGTGCAATGTTTCACAGCCTTTCACATTCTTCTCTTTCTGTCTTTCCAGCAGCCCTGTTAGATCTTTTTTTTTTTTTCCATTAAGAATATAGAGACAGAAAGAGAAATGAATGACCCACCCAGAGTCTGGACTGATAGCCAAGGCTTTTTATTCCAGATCTTGTCTTGTCTTTTTTTTAAAAAAAAAAAAAAAAGATATTATTTATTTACTCATGAGAGACACAGAAGCAGGCTCACTGCAGGGAGCCCAATGGAGGACTTGATCCCAAACCCTGGTATCAGGCCCTGAGCTGAAAGCAGACGCTCAACAGCTGAGCCACTTGGACATCCCAGATCTTGTCCTTTCGATACCGAAGCCCTCCTTAACCATCCCCTTCCTCCAGAGCCGTGCATCTCAAGCCTGGTTGCCCAGTATCATTTGGGGAATTTTTCAGAAATGTGATTTCTGGGCCACCTTCAACTACATCAGGAGCTTAGTAGGTGAGTCCAGGCATCAGTATTTCTTAAAAGGCTGCTGAGGTGATTCTCCTGTGCACTTCAGCTTGTGACCCACTGCTCTAGACAGGCTGCACTCCATCAGGGTCTCTAGATGTTTCATCCCAGAGTAATAGTTGGAAGGATTGGGGAACCTGGAAAAATTGCTCTATTCATGCTATAAGTAACTGCTGTGTTTCTTATTTAACAAAAAGTAGACAGTTTCCTTTCTTCCTTTTTTTTTTTTTTAATGGGGAACAAGGTTGTTTGGGCTTTATTTTAAAAATTAGTCTCTATCATCTACCAGATTTTCCCTAGTCCACTCAATATCCTTTTTCCTGTGAATAATTCTTCTAGGCCAAATCTGACTGAGCTCTAAAATTTGCCTATTTTCTTTCCTCCAGATTGTCTTCTTCTCCTCATTAAAAGAAAGACAGAGTTTTCTGAGACTTTATAAATGTAATTCACAGGGATGGTTCTCTATGCTTAAGAGCACAGAAGCTGCAAACTTTAATAATTTAGCAAATCTACTGAAGTCTGAATTGAAAATTATAGTCACTTCAATGTCAGACATTGCTATGTGTATGACACTAAGCCAGATGCTGTGAGAAAGATAAAAGATAAACAAAAACCATCACCTATCCCAAGAAATACATAGTCTGTGATATTTAGTAAGAAAAAAATACAGATATGTACACACAAAGAACTGTATAATTTCATATTCAGTAATGACTGAGCATCCGCTGTGTGCTAAGCATTCTTATAAATACTGGGAATACAGTAATGAGCAAAACCAAGTCTGCCTCATAGAACTTAACATTCCTAGTGCAGGGAGACAGATAATAAATAATTATAGTACAAGGCAACTCACTCGACTTTGAACCTCTTGAGAGCAGGGTCTTACTCATTTTTGCATGTCCACAGTACAGTGAGTGTCCATAGGCAAATGTTTGTCAAATGCATCAGTGAATGTATTAAGCACCATAATAAAGCTCTGAGGACTCTTGGGAGCATCAGTGAGAAAGATTAGAATCAACTGAAGAGACTAAGATTTCTTGGCAGAGATAGCGTTTGAACCTGGCCTTAAAAGCTGAGTAAGATTCTGCAGGGTGTCAGCTTGTGCTTTGTCCTCAGCTTGCCTTCTGCTCTCCCGTCATTTCCCCCTGAACAATTTTGACTCCTAAATCTTTAAGGTTGTTGGAGGCAGAAGGTCTCATCTTCTATAATTTCTTCCTGCTGAAGAGGGGCATAGAGATGTCCCTACCTAAGGGTCAGTACT